CCCCGTGTGCGCCTGCGCCGCGCTCGGGGCGCGCCCGCCTCACGCAGCGACGTGTGTCTGAAGGGCGGTGTTGTTTCACCCCCCCGCCTCGTTCTAAGGAGTCGTTCTTCTCTTGAAGGGTTGTGCTTGGTAGGGAGGCCGCCTGGCAGTTGTGCCGAAAAAGTAGCTGGGTTTGTGGGGTTTGTTTCACTGGAAAACTCGAAGTAAGCTTCATGCGAAGCTTTCTTGTGTTTGCTGAAGTTGGGGTGCTGTGGTGAGAGGAGCCGAAGCTGTAAGTGTGGGGGTTTTACTCATTCCTTTACATACAAGAGTAAGCTTTGGGCAATGGTAAGGGCTGATTTCACTGGCCTGTTCTGGCCCTGAAGAGACTTACTGGGTAGTGGTGGAAGACATGAGGCCTTTTCATTGACAAGAAGATTTTTGTGAAGTTGAATTTTGACTGAGTTGGGAGCAGGTATGCTGACCTTATTTGAACTTCGGTGTAATGCAAGGGTGAGTTCAGCTGCTTGAAGCCAGGTTGATATTGAATCCTACATTTTTCAAAGCCAGCCCATGTTTGGTTAAGTAATTCTAACATGCTTTTCTCAGGCAGACACATTAAACTGTAGAGATGGGAAGGAACAGGCTTACTGGACACAACATTATAAATCTCTAGAACTGGGAAATGTAGAGTCTTCCAGGTCTTCCTAGCTCTAGAAATATGAATCGTCGTTAGTTACGATGCTGCGTAGCATCAAAGCTTTGCCAGGAGGGTTGCTGGGGTCTCATTCACTGAGTTGTGCAATGGAAGCTGGAGAGGACAGAGCTGTGCTACCCATAATTGTAAATTACAATGGGCTTCCTCTGAGCTGTGTGTTAATAGCTGGGATCAAGACTTCAAAGGTTTTATGTACATCTGTAAGAGTGGTGGGTAGCTTTTGTATTTTTGTGGTAACTGTAGTGAGAGGGAGAGGCAGGATGTGCTTATTGTAACAAGCTCATTGAAAGGCTTATATGCGAGGAAGGAAACCACAAACTTGCAAGGTGTTTGGGGAGACCTGAAAGCTGCTGTTCTCTTCTGCTGAGAACTGAGATGTTCTGGGGCTGTAGGTTGGGTCTTCAGAGACGAAGGAAGGGAATTGAATTCTTGGGTGGGACTTGTGCTGAGGTTCCTGATGCCTGTGCTTTACAGTACTGGTAGGTGTTGCACTATGTCTGCTTCAAAGCTCCAACACATATTGTTGCAAAGGCCTCTTTTGTCTGGCTTTATTCTTGACCGTGCAATAACAATCTTCTTTTCTGCTTTCACTTGATAGGAATAATGTTTCCAACATGTCTGTGCAGTCGCTGCTTTGTGAAAGAATTGCTGTTGCCAAAGAATTGATCAAGAGAGCAGAAGCCCTTTCCAAGTCCCAGAAAAGGAAAATAGAAGGTGGGGCCAAACTATGTGGCAAACTGAAGGCTGAGTTGAACTTCCTGCACAAGGTGGAGGCAGGGAAGGTGGCCATTAAAGAATCCCATCTGCAGAGCACAAACCTGACCCATCTCCAGGCCATTATTCAGTCAGCAGAGAACCTGGAGGATGTTGTCAGTGTCCTCCACGTCTTTGCTTACGAGGACAGGTTTGGAGACAAACAGACGCTGGTGGTGGACGTTGTTGCAAACGGAGGTCACACGTGGGTGAAGGCCATCAGTCGGAAGGCCGAGGCCCTGCATAACATCTGGCTGGGGAGAGGGCAGTATGGTGATAAAAGCATCGTTGAGCAGGCAGAGGACTTCCTGCAAGCAAGCCGTCAGCAGCCAGTGGAGTACAGCAATCCCCACATCATCTTTGCGTTCTACAACAGCGTGTCCAGTCCTATGGCAGAGAGGCTGGAGGAGATGGGAATATCCGTGCGGGGAGACGTCGTGGCTGTGAACTCGCTGGTGGAACCGTCTGCAGCCAACCAGCACCTCAGCGACAGCGAGTCGGATGAAGAAGGCCCCGAACTCCTGCAGGTGACCAGAGTAGACCGGGAGAATTTGGTGGCCAGTATTGCTTTCCATACCCAGATCAAAGTACATGTGTGCAATAGAGTTAACCTGGACATCACCACCTTAATAACTTACGTCTCTGCGCTGAGCTACGGCGGCTGCTACTTCATCTTCAAGGAAAAAGTGCTAACGGAGCAAGCGGCTCAAGAAAGGAGGGAGAGAGTCTTGCCTCAGCTGGAGGAGTTCATGGAGGGAAAAGAGCTCTTTGCCTGTCAGTCTGCTGTCAGAGATTTCCAGTCCATCCTGGAAACGCTGGGGGGACCTGGGGAGAAGGAGCGAGCTGCCTTGCTTGTTAAAAGGATTAATGTGGTGCCAGACCAGCCGTCTGACCGTGCCTTGGGGCTTGTGGCCAGTTCAAAAATCAACAGCCGATCTCTCACCATTTTTGGGACAGGAGACACTTTAAAGGCCATCACCATGACTGCAAATAGTGGTTTTGTGAGGGCAGCAGCTAACCAAGGGGTCAAGTTCAGTGTTTTTGTCCATCAGCCGCGAGCACTGACAGAAAGCAAAGAATCTGTTGCCACACCTTTACCAAAGAGCTGCTCACCTGACACTGGGCTGTAAGTCAGGAAGTGAGCTGGTCATTGAACTATTGAATATTGGAGAACTAAGAGTCATCATAGTACATTTTTGGATGTGCATCGGTGAGAACAGTAACTGTAGCAGCGGAAGGGTTCCTCAAGGGATTTACAGTATCTTCACTCAGTTCTTGCTTTGTCTGTTCAGCTGACCATTAATTTATTCACTAAAGTAATAAGATTTCAGTAATAATTGTTAATTGGCCTACTGTGTATTAATTGTATCCATCCCTATTAAAAAGTTAAAGCACAGTTGCCTTTATGCCCTTGTCATTTTTGTCCTTTTCAGAGAGCTTAAATTCAGCACATCAGATGGACTTCAGACTTCTGTGGAACTGAAATAATTTTTCACCCATCCTATTCAATAGATTTCTTTGTTGATTCAGAGGTACCTTGTGGAGAGACCTGTCCCTTTTTATGTGTATGTTCTTTCCTGAGGATGTGACTAGTAGCCAAAAATGGGAACCAACTTGAGCCTGCCTTCTTTTACTGAATGGAATCTCTATATGTATACCACAATAAACTGAATTGGGCAACACCTTTTAAAATTTCCAGAAAAATCAGTTGAAATTGGAGTTTATTGGCACTAACGTGTTGTGATGCTTGGGCTGAACTGGACACCTGGTGGTAGCAGACCAAGGAGACAAGTCCACTTCTTTCTCTCAGCCTTTGCCCAAGGGTAGAAGTCTTGCTGGGTTCAAAACCCAGCTTGAGGCTTCAGGTAATGGAACTCTCCTAAACCGAGCTGGCACCCACATGGTTTCTGATAGTAGTGAGCTCTCTGCTGAGGGCTCGTGGTGAACCTGGATTTGGCTTTGTTGCTTGTGGCTTACCTGAAACAAAGCCTCACTGAGGTCCATTAGTGTTGGCATGGTGGAGGAGGAGGTGTGGGGGATATGTTGTTAAATGCTGGTTTGCCCTATAGTAGAAGTTTTTTTACTGGTGTAATTGCTGGTTTTACTCAAAGTGTAGAATAAACAACAATTTTTTTTTTCCAGGAGAGAGTTTTAGAAACCTTTCTAAAGTTTTTTCAGTATGCTGTAAAGACAGCACTTGCTGTTTGGTGTTAATTTGCTAGTGGAGTATTTTGAGATGTCAGAGGGAACCTCGTGGCCCTGAGCTATGCATTTCATCAGGTCAGTGAAAGAGATACCCCCTGAATATTTTACAGGCTGTGTTCAACAAGAGAGTGTTATTAGGCAGCTTATAGTTCAGGCAAAGAACATCCCCCTGCCACTCCACTCTGAATGTCTTCCTGCAGTACAAAGTAGCTGCAGTGCTGCCCTTAGCCACTGTCTCTACCTCTTTCTTCCTGTCTCCAGTGCTCTGGTGTGCTCTAGCACTGGTGTAGAGGTACTGGCGTGGCAGCAAAACCACTCTGCGTGTCTCTCCCAGCTGGGTAAGCTTAACTGCAAGGAGCAAAGGCTTGTTTCTGTTGGTCTGACTCTTGGTCTACTCTCTTCTTACTAGGCCTGCACAGTAACCTGTCAGCAGTTGCCACCACTATCCCCGTGCTGCGTGTCTTTATAACTTAACAGCGTGGGGGGTGGTCTGTTCTCCACCTGACCTTTGTTTCTGCTGGTCGCTGAGGTAGCTCGTGGGGTTGGGTTAAGGTGGGTGGAACTGGATTCAGCATCCAATCTTCTACCTGCCCGTTTCCCAGGTCTTCTTTGGTGAGTTGTTCTAACAAAGCATCTAGCTTGTTCTACATGGCATTACAAAACTTCATGGCAGGATGCAGCCCCAGCTGTGTCTGTCAGCTTTCCTGACACTTATCCTGCAGGGAGGAAAAAAGTCCTGAAAGAAGGTACAGGAAACCTCCTAGTGAAAAATTTATGAACAAAAAATGGGAAAGAGGAGTTAATTTTTGTTTCCAACTCAGAGCTTTAAAAGGTGAGGTCCCAGCAGACAGCTATTTATTACTGGTTTATCTGTTTTACAGTCTTACAGGATATCCTTAAAGCGAAGTCCATGGTAATAGTGCCCTTACATGTGGTAATTCATTGTGGCCCTTTGAGAACTAACCCTTTGAATTTAAGTTCCTTTTAATTTGCTTGCAGCCTGTCTACCCTCATAAGTTTTTTGAATGAGTAAACAGGTGAGAGCTGCTTCATGCCACTTCTTGCTGTGACTCTTTCCAAGTGGCTGTCCCATCATTTTTCTTGCTGTATCCCATTCAGGACTTGTGAATGTCCTCTTGGGCACCCTCTAAAGAGGTTTCTCCAAACCACAGATAAGGCAGTGACCCCTCTCCTTACATGGTGGGTGACCCAGAGAAGGTGCTGGAGAGCAAGTAGCCTCCCTATTGCCTGGATTTGGGGTGGATGGGCTCTGTCTGGTTCCAGCATTTCCTCACTCCTGCTGCTGCAGAGCTGGCTGACTTGCTTTGTGGTGGTAGTTCTGTATAAATATTAACCGCAGCTCCGTTTGAAAGCCTCTGTGTCTGGAGCCCTCGTGTGGTGACTGCCGTCATTACCAGTCCGTTTTGCCCACCACAGGATTACTGAATCAATTTTCTTTCTCTTACCAATTTCTACCAAACAGCAATGTATTAGGAATACAAAACTTTTCTAGAAATTATCTACATGCCACTGTGGAACTTGATTTTTTTTTGTTGTTGTTATTTTGTGTCTCCCTGTTACATGGTGCAATAAAAAGCTCAGAATGTGGGTGTTCTATTTTGGTTGAGGCTTTTTTGTTGTTGTTTGGTTGATAATTTTTTTTTGGTAATTTTTTTTTTTCCCCTTCAATGGTTTTCTGGCTTACTGGTCAAATAGAAATGCAATAGTGGCAGACTAAGAATTGTTTTATAAGATGAAACCTGAAACTGAATACCAGCTTGCAACCAAAATGTGTTTTGATGGTAATATCTGGGGGGCTTTTGTATTTCCTTCCAAGATACTGGTGATGTACAGACATAAACCAGTGGTCTGTTTAGTGCGTTCAGATAGCTTCCACTTGATTTTACAAATGGGGGATTAGATGTTGGACTTTTCTTATTTATGACGTTACAAGTGAGTAATTAGAAGATGCCAAATTATGTTTGAAATCAAGCTGAAAAAAACTGAATCCCAGACTGCTTGTCCTTTCTTCCAATGTCACACAACTGCTTCGTCTACACTACACCAGGTCCTTGAGGATACGGAGACATCCCACTTGCTGCAGTGGATTTTTTGGTAATTTTTTTTAAATGAAATTTTTCAGCCTTAAGTTCCTTGACAAAGATGGATTCCTAAAGTGTTTTGGAGAACCTTGTTCTTCTGGCACTTGTAATTAATTTTACATTTTCTCTCTATGGTTCCATAGTCTGAGGAGAGCCAGCATCTCTGTTGTGTGCTACGCTCAACCTCCTCTCTTTGCTCCAACAGTAAGAATAGCAAAAAAGGAATGTTGCAATTGATGCCCAGTAGTAGAAAGCACTTGGATATTATAGGAGAAATAAATAGGTAAGTTAATAATTAATACATCCATGTTTCTAACTTGTCTTCTACGGTTTTGTTGAAAGCAAACTTATTTTTGGGCACAGCTGTATATATTCTTTACTTACTGTCATTATGGCTGACAAAATTTGCATATGAAGACTTGTTTGTCATTGTACCTGCAAGCCATGGAAACACTCGGAGGTAGTTTTGTGTGTTGCAGTCTCAGCTGTGTAAGAGTGTTACTCTTTGGTAGGTTTGGTAGAGCTAAATAATGGTTTGTGTTTCAAACTGCCTCCACCTGACGATGCCTTCAGCAGACCTAAAGCAGTCTGCTGAAGTCTTCTGCAGCTTGTCTGAAAATACTTTCACAAACCTGGTCCTAATTCCTGAAAACTGGACTTGGGCTTGGGCACAACAGTGACAAGAAAAGAAAACACAAGCAACAGCTGTTTGAAGTAAGTTTGAGACCTAGGAAAAAATACCCTAAAATCTTTTACGTTAAAGTGGAGCAAGAAGATGATTTACAATAATACAGCATATTGTTGCACAGATATTCTTTATTTCAGGCTATTAAGCAAGCAAGACAGCACAGGTCACCTGGTACCTAATGAACCTGCTAAAGTAAACAAGAATTCAATGAGGTTCTTGAACTGAAGGCTGTGGTTGCAGTTTTCCTGCAAGCTGTAGTTTTGGGCTGCACCATCCAGTTTGCTGCAGGCACCGTGTGAGTTCTTCTGTGGTGAAATGAACTCTGGAGGTAGGTGTGGCTGTTGCTTTTCCATCAAGATTTAACATTGCAGTTTATTCTAGAGTAGAAATGGAGTGAATGTAAAACTACTGCACTTTGTGACAACTGCTTGCAATTGCAATTTCAGGGCTTTGCAAATTGCTTCTTATGAACATTGTGGAAATTAAGATTGTTCCTACCTAAAGTATTGTAAAGAACAAGCAAAAACTTCTCAACTTGCTTGTTCAGAAGATCTTTCTGTTTAAAAATTTCTCACTTACCATGTCTTACATAAGACATTCTTCTCTAAACTGCTCTCCCCAAAACCCAAACCACCACCACCAAAAAAAACCCCAAAGCATTAACCACGTCTGGTGATGAAGCTGTGCCCCTGTGCTCATTGATGAGGCTGAGTGCATGATAAAGCAGCTCACTGTAGTATTGACAAACATGGACATACAGAGCACAGAAGTTTACACTGCAGTGGAATGGAGAGGGGAGGTGTCATCTCGTTCCTTCACATACAGCTGTAAAATGCACTCAGCCATAATAACACAATTCATCTGAAGGATTCTCACCTTCTCTGTTACTAGCAGTTATTTTGGTTTTGGAAGGAGAGGAGCAGAAGGTGGGTAGATCTCTAGCCTGCCAGAAATGGATGGTAAGGAAGAGCAGTTTTTTCTGTATCTTGCCCCATTAGTGCATGAAAGGTAGGAGCACTGGAGTAACAAAACTGAGATAATAGTATGGACAAAGACAAAATGGCTCTTACCAGCTATTTCAGCGCTCGACTCCTGGGTTGGTTCTTTGCTCGGCTCCACACTTGGCTGGGGGGTA